ATCCGAATCAATTGGGGACTGGGGTTGTTCGGAAAATCGATATTTCGGATAACCGATTATGTACGAAAAAATATATTAACCTATCCCATGTTGAAATTTCTCTCCTTTGCGTGTCGTTTCGCGTTGAATTTTCGTCGATGTTAAGCCTAACGAAGACTATTGTATCGTTAAAATTTATTTTTTTGTACAAACAATAAATTTATTGAAAAATATAAAAACAATAAAAAATTATACTTCAGAAGTTAATTTAGTATCAATAACGTAAAATATTTGAGTAGCCCAAGACATAGCCAAAGATTGCAGTGCCACAAGTGCTGTGGCGCCATAGCACTGGTGAAAATTAAATTTGCCGACTGGAATTCTTTCGGATAAACGATGCTCTACTGTAATTCGTTTTTCGTTTAATGGCGTAAATAAATTGTTGCTTTAAAGGAACGGTCAATTGGATAATAAAGTAGAGATTTTTTTTAAAACAAATTTCTAAATAAGAAAATCGTGTTGATTCTAAAAAGACTAGACTATACTTTGCTCGTTTTTATATAAATAATTTTTAATCTAGCAGATTAATCCCTGGATACGGAAGGCGCCGGTTTTTCCAGAGATGGCAACAATGCGCCGTCTTGAAAGTTAACATTAGTGACTAACAGCGAGGGGGAAAGATCGGGAAAATGATGACGCGCTAGCGAAGATATTCAGCATGTGATTCACCCAGACCGAATATTGTCAGCGGCGATTTTTTCTCTTGCAAATCGCGTTGGCAAAATGAAAAAATCAAATATTTTTGGTAGCGAAAAATGTTTGTACGAATTTCTTGACGACAAAGAGAGGAAGTTTAGAGACTTCAGCCACGAAATTCGCGCGTTCGAGTCACGTCGTCGAAGCAGTTCTTATGCAAATGAACGAAGCTCCCACGTTTATCTGGCAAAAAGGTTTAAAGGAAAATCGACGGAAACGAATTGCCGAACTTAGTCGTTTTATTTCCAGTAAGTTTTTTTAACTTTAAATTTTGTTATATTTTAATACGTTGTACTGCTGTTTATTTCCTATTTGTAACACGAACGTAATTCTTAAATTATTAGAGAACGCAGTGTATTCCGTGGCGTAGCTAGGGGTGGCATTTAAAAAAATTTAATTACTTTTTTTAATAATGAGAAGAGTAAAATTGTTAACTACGCCGAGAGTTAGTCGTATAATTTTTGTAAAAAACAACATTTTTCAATCAACAAAGTAGGTTTGATGTATATTTTGTATATACAAAGCCAAGGGCGACAATTGACAGACCGTGCCGGGCGGCTCAAACTGTAACTACGCCATTGTATTCAGTATTACATCGTACTTTTTCTTAAAAAAAATGGAGACATTGTGTACCTTTTTAATTGCGGTATATACAGTACACAATAATATCAATCTTAATCGTTAGTGTACTGTTCAAATAAATGTAAGAAGTAACGTCGTCAATTCGGCCTCGTCGGCCGCCATCTTGTTCTAATAACGTTTGTCTAGGTTCGCGCTCCGCTCGTTTTGCTATTCTAGTTTGGCGAACCGAATTCGCTAAAGCAGGATCATCCGCGTAAACGATTTAACCGAGCCGAGCCACGGCCATAACAAAACTGAGGTTTGCGTAATTTACTTGAGCAAAGAGATTCAACTTGTTGATCGT